TGCTGGTGGCGGCGGGTCCTGCCAGTGACGAGTGGCGGCGGCGGCGGCGACTGTTACCGACACCTGCGGCGGCGGGCAGGGTGTAGCGGTGAGGAAGACGTAGAGGCTCCCCGGCGGGCGTGGAGATGTGGCCCCTGGTGGTGGCGCTGCTGCTGGGTTCGGCGTGCTGCGGTGAGTGGCCCCTTGCTCTTGGCCCGGTAGCGGGTCTCTAGTCGCCTTCTTGGGCTGCGCCCTGGCCCTGTCTTGCCTAGGAGGGTGGCCAGGGCCGGACGTGCAGTCCGTTGGGTCTTTGTGTGTCCGAAGTGCAGAAGTGGAGAACCCCGCGGGCAATCGGGCGCCTCCGCTCCTTCCTCTCCTTCCTTTCTCTTCCCCGGGGTGAGGAGCGGGGGCTCATCTGCTTCACCCTGCCCTCAGTCACTGGATGCACACACTGAGGAAGACTACAAACCGAACAATTCACGCACAAATTAACTGTAACGCAGAGAGAGGGCGCGATCCGAGGTGAGGGGGTGGATTCTGTGTGCGTCCCCCTTCTTTCGCACCCCTCTTCTTTCTTTGTGCTTAGGCGCTTTGGGGGATGAAAGAGGGAGAGTGGGAGGGCCCCAGCCTCTTGGCGATGGAAGTGCGCATTTGGGTGAAGTCAGCTAGACAGAGTTGTAATGCTTTTTGCTCTCCAACAGGAACATAAGAGCGAAGAGGATGTAAAGGGCATGATTAAGTTTAATTTTCAATCCAGTTTTTAATTAGAGGACTTTCCCCCCCACCCTTTCCCCTTTAAAGCCCTAGAAATAAGCTTCCTCGAAACTCTTTCCTTTTTGTGATCCCCAAGCCCCATCAACCACTTTAATACATTTCAAATTTATACGTTCAAGTTTCCCCACTTTGTTTGGTGAATTGTTTTAAAAAGTATTCCGATTTCGCCTGCAATATGAAGACTGTAACCTCTAGTCAAAGCATATTTGCAGCAGAGTGGGATTTGGTGTCTTTTGACAGCAAAGGCGTTTTGCCCCTGCCTCCTCCCCCCTCCCTCGACCCACCTCCCAAGCCTTTGGAATCCATTTCGCTTTTTTAAAATGTTGATTCCTCTGTAAAACATAAGGAAGGAATACGAATTTTCGTGGCTCCGTGGTGTTTGTCACAGTTCATATTTATATATTGAGCCTTTTGTGAACTCTTTTTGTAAGGTTCAGAATTCAAATTGAGTAACAGTTGTTAATTTGATGTTAATCTGATAATTTGCCTCAATGTGCTTTCATAAAGCCTTGTGACTGAGGCATTTCCAAAATGTTTTTAAAATCCTTATATACCACTTACTCTCTCCACCCTTACTCCCCAAATATCCTGAGATGTTAGAGCTGTTCATAATCAAGGTCTCTTTTATCTAAGGGGCTGATACTAGGTAGTGTTCCCTGTCATATTTGCTAGTGTGCTTGCTGCCATCCTTATCATTATAGCTAAAATAATATTGCTTTCAAATACCTGTTGTATAATCAGAAAGCTTTCATATTGAGATTGTAAATTCCTAATAAAATATCACAAATTCAGACTGTTGGCATCAAAGCTAGACTGAAGAATAAAAAGTGTAAATCATGTACTGTTTTAAAAGCAGGGACCCTATTTTCAAGTACGTTAGAATCAACTGCTGTGATGGTACTTTGGGGGATAGAGTTCTGTTAGGCCTCCTATAGTAATAGTTAAGATCGTGTGTAATTAGCTCTAATTTACGTACGGTATAAGTGTGCTCAAATCCCAATAGAGTAATAGAATTCAGAATTTATGGTGTTTTATTGTGTTTAGTAAATATTAACTTGAAAAAAACAGGCATTGTGCATTTGCATTCTGCTCAGTGTTGAATATAAAACAAGAAGTGATAGGGTTTGTCATAAGGTACAACGTATTTTTTTCATGAGTTTAATATGTATCTTCAAAAGGACAAGAGGAAGATATGTTAGACTCCGAACACAAATAGTTGTAACTAAGAGATTTTGGAGACTGAATTTATAATCTAGAATGAGTAAGAAGGGCATACATTTGTAAGTTCATTTGTATTGAGTTTATGTTTGCTCTCAGTTTCAGTTATAAAGGACTGGTAATCAGGGCGTTTCCTTTCAAACACAAATTGGCATTTTAAGAAAGTAAATACCTATTTAAAAGTACTTATTTATGAGGCAGCCCCAGCAGTCTCGAAACAGTGTGTTAAAGCATTACACTAAATACCTAACATTTGGACACTTGCTCATGCTGTCATCTGTGTTTTGGCAGATGTTTTATCTTTGCCACAGGGTTGTTAATGGAGATTTGAAAGGCCAGATTCTAAAGATGAAAAATAGGTAGTTTCCTCTCTCTTTCCCTCCCCCCCATTGGTAATTATTCCAAATCCTGAATAATCACTCATATGCCTATTACCAAAACTAAAATTACATTCTGGAATGTTAATTCAGCTATGCTAATATGCATTGATTTATACATGAATGCTCTTTTTGTGATACTAAGTTTCAGACTACCATTTTAAAAACATTTTATATAAGATAAAAATGTCTCTTTTTATATTGTATATCTCAACCAACTCTAATGTACTTTGGGATTATTATAAAACTACTTCCATTTGTGTACTAGTACAGATATTTCTTCTATAATGAAGGAACAAGGATAATAGTAGAGAATGAATTTGACTAAATTCAATATAGTGTTAAAGAAAAAAAAAGTACAATACTAGGAAATTGATTCTAATATGCGTACACTAAGACAGTAAAACCTTGCTGTTCTCTTTTTCTGCTTTCATGGAATTAAAATATAAAGTTAGAAACTACACTGTACTATGCATATTTCATTTCAAATCCATAGAGCAGTTGCAAAACTCAGAATCTGGTCAACCCAGGATTTGAGAGACTTAGAATAGGAGAATAAATGTACATATTTGAAATCATATCACACCTATAAAGCAAAAGGGAACACAAAAGATTTGGAATGTACAGTGTTTGTCAGAATTGCTTTTACCATTTCAAGAAAACATGAATTCTTGCTATACTCTTAAGCACTTTGCAAGGCCCTCTTAGGCAGAGGCAAATTTCAGACTGTAGACCTCTTAATAACTTAAATTGTACTTCATAGAGAATTGTTACTGCTGTTGTGTGCCGTTGTGTTGATTCCAACTTACAGCAACTCTATAGGACGGCATATAACAGCCCCATGGGAATTCTTAGGCTGTAATCTTTACAGAAGCAGCTTGCCAGGTGTTTCCTCCCATGGAGCAACTGGTCGGTTTAAACCACAGACTTTTTAGTTAGCAGTCCATTACTTAACCATTATGCTGTAAGAGTTCCTTTCATATAAAACCAATATTGTTGTTAAGTGTCAAGTCAATTCTGACTCATAGCAACCCTGTATAGGGTTTCCAAGGAGCGACTGGTGCATTTGAACCTCCGACCTTTTGGTTAGCAGTCCAGTGCTTACCCTGTACTTTTCATATAAAATTGTTGCCGTTAAATGCCTTTGAGTCGTTTCCAACTCATAGCAACTCTGTGTATGGTTTTGGAGGAGCGCTGGTGAATTTGAACTGCTGACCTTGCAGTTTAAAACGACCTTGTGGTCCAGCGCATTATCTTATAGCACCACACCTGGACTCCAAACAATACCTAGTCAGCAGGACAAAATAGGGACCTTTAAATATATGTATATATCTTTAATACTTAAAAGGAGTCCCTGAATGCCACAAATGGTTAAGTGCTTGACTTCTTAGAGAGAGGTTGGTGATTAGTGTGGTGCTGTGGGTTAATGCACTGGACTTGCAAGGTCAGTTTGAACTTCAAGGTCAGTGTTTCAGGATCACCAGCTGCTCCTCAGAAACCCTGTACAGGATCTCTATGAAGAAGAACTGACTCAAGGGCACTTAACAACAATAACAAAGGTGCCTTCTTGGAGTCCTGGTGTGGTGCTGTGGGCTAATGTGCTGGACTGCAAGATCGATTTGAACCACAAGGTTGATGGTTCAAGCTCACCAGTTACTGCTAGGCAACCCTATCCAGGATCTCTATGAATCAGACCTAATCAAATAGCACTTAACAACAACAAAGGTGCCTCACAAGAAAGGCCTGGCAATCTGTTTCTGAATGGTCACAGTCTTGAAAACCATATGACGTGCACTTCTACTCTGTAACACATGGGGTCACCATTAATTGAAATCAGCTTGACAGCAACTGGTTGATTGTTTTTGTGGGGGTTTTTTTTGAAGCACTTTTTGTTAATGGGATGAACTGCAAAGTCAGTTTGAACTGCAAGGTCAGTTCAAGCTCACCAGCTGCTCTTCGGAAACCCTATACAGGAGTCCTGGTGTGATGCTGTAGGATAAGCAGTAGACTGCTAACCACATACTTGGCAGTTCAAATCCATCAACGCTCCTCGGAAACCCTGTACACGGTCACTGTGAACCTTACCAACAATAGCAAGAAATACATTGTAAGTGCTTGATAAGGCCATAGTTGCAGATGTTGCTTACTTTAACCTGCCTTGACACCTTGTAGTTCTAAGTCAGACTACTTCCATTCATACCAAGACTACTTTCAAATTCAGTGGAAGTATTGCTTAAGTGTCATACAACTTGTAAGAAGCTCTACTTTATCCTAGACCTTTGTTTATTTTAGTCTCCATTGAGGGGAGACATGACTGGAACCCTCCTTTTGTCCCTAATACTAACTTGGTTCAGGTTGAGTCTCCAGTTCTTCATACCACAAGAGAATTGGCATGATACTAGAAACTAATAGGATTCAGTTCTGGTAGGCATCTTTACTCATGGGCTTGGTTGACTTTGTTTACACTAGTGGTTGATGGGACTTCTTATCCAATTCCTGCAATTCCTGAACACTCATCCTAAGGAGATAATCAACTTCCTACTCTACAGGAAAAAAAAAAAAAAAAAATTATGGTGCAAACTTTCTCATTTTCCCACCCACCATTTCTAAATTTAACTCTAATACTTTAGGCAGTCTTCACCTCAGTCTCTTTCTTCATGCAGTTTCAGAAGAGTACCCATTTGCCTTTCCTAGTCAAGGACAACCTATATGTTACAGCACTTTTCACTTCCATCTTGGACACCTGCCCAATAAGTTTAATTCTTCAATCTTGTGTCTTTAACCTTTTCCTCTCCATTGCCTCCTTTCACTTAGTTTGCAGAT